TAGTCAGCTTCATTTCCCTTCTCTGGATCTTCACTGGCTCATGGAAAGCAACCAGTTAAGAGATCTGATCATTCGATGCCTCCTGTAGATAGAATAGTACCTTAATGCCCCAGAGGAGATTTCCCAACTTCTCTTGTGCAGATTTTAGGCATCAGTCCTGCTGCAAAGAGAGTCAGTCACACAGGGGGATCCTGAAGTCTGTGCAGAGTTCCATAAACCTAATTAGGACTCCGTGAAGGCTTAAAAATGTGCTCGTATGGAACCCATTGCAAGTTCAAATCTATCCCTGGCATAACTCCAATAACTTTCTCTCCTCCCTGGCCAGCGAAAGCAGATGGGATTGGCTCTGTGGAGATTAAGCAGGCTATCAGCATTATAGGATGCAATTCTTTAACCCACTTTTTGAATACTCAGGTGGTCAAAGACTTTCCTACTTAAAGGACAGTGAAAGGAGAGATGCTAATTTTCCTTCAGGACACTGTGCCTCTGCTTTGTTAGCTGTCAAGCAGTTTTCCCCACTCAGGGACTGAATGGCACCAAGCAGATCTCTGCGTCTCCAGCATGATGCAGCAACAGGCTGGCAGCCACTCTGCTGTGTGAGCCCACTCTGGTTCCTTGTCTATGGCACTGTAATAGGGCTTCTATTACAGGGGGTCTCAAGTTGACATGATGCAATATAACATAATACGAGCAGTAGGGGAATACTATAGAGCGTGCATGATGCAAGAGCTAAAGCCAAAAAGATCAATAAACAGATCCAAAAAATCACCAACACATTCTTTACACCTGAAAGGCTAGTGCCAAATAGTAGCCTGAGCACTTTGGTGGTGTCTGTGGTATTTAAAAGCCAGATACAGATAGGAGATTACTTTAATTATACTTGAACGGGGTGGAATATTACGTCAGGAAGACTTTCTGAGGCTCGCGCCTCTGGGGGATCCCCCTGGCATGCAATTATCACCACCTGAGTTTGCCATTACACCATTATCTAAAGTCCTTGCTGTCCAGGCTAATGTACCTGCACACTGGCTGTAAAGCAGAAAAAGGCACTTGTAATCTTTGACCAGCAGTGAGAGCATTGCCCAGTGCCCTCCAATCCAACCTTCCTTATGGCTGAGCAGAGTTCAGAGTGACTGACAACCCGAGAGCCCATCACTGCTGTCCTGGAGTCAGCCAAAGAGCTCCTTGCAGAGCCACGCGAAATATTCTTCCTCTCTTCATCGAGGTTGAGCACACCTGCCTACTCTATAGTGAATGACTTAGCTTTGGTCCCAAATGTAAACACTCCACATAGCACATTGTGATACTGCTGAAGTGTAATCTGTTGGCTAGAGCAGAAGGCCGGGAATCAGTACTTCTTGATTCTATTCCCAGCCTGCCACTTATTTGCTCTGTAACTTCTCTAGGATTTCATTTTCCCATGTGTAAAATGGGGATACGACTACTCAGCTACTTCACAAATATGTTCGGGGGCTTAATTTATTCAAGTTTATTATTCATCTCAAAGTAAAACACTCTGAGATCCTTGGAAAAAGCAACATATGAACTGCAGTGTATTGTGGCAATATTTTTTAAATGTGACTTCTCACAGCCTGATACACACCACTTTATTTATATTCCAGGAAAATGGACTAAAGTAAATGACTGACTAGGTCTTTTCCCATCTCTAATTTCTGTGATTTAGAGAGCATTTCCACAGTGCCTCATGGGTATATTATACCTATATTATTTTCCTTAGAGGGGTTTTCCATTTACCATTCAAGTCCAGGACAGGCTTGTTTAGCTTGGCCTTATGATCCTCTAGGTCAGAAATGCCCCATGATGCCCCTCAGAATACAGAGAGTTACCTCTGTGCTATTAAGTACATTTAAAGGGCTTCCTGGCATAAATTCAGGGCCATTTTGGTGCTGTTGAACAGGAGCACTAATAACAGAGTTAGCAGCAAAGGTATATTTAGCTATAGAAGGATCACCAGCACCATTTGTAGGTATAGTGTACTCTATAAACAACCAAGGGAAATTTTTCAATCAGTTGACTGCTATGGGATTTGCTACTTCACAAAGTAGCAGACTTCACAAAGACTTCACAAAGAACAACCTGGAAGGAACTAAGCCTTGAGCCTTCAAACCCAGAGAACTAGCATTCTGAGGTTTGATTATATTTTTTAACCCACCATAACACAAAATGAGAAGGGTCTAGCATGTTAGAAAAAAACACTTTTGTTTGATTTATTTAGAATCAAAATAATTTTGCTTGCAATTTTTTTCTAAATGTAAATCTACCTAGAATCCTTCTTAAATTTCTACAGTGTTCTAGAATTTAAAATACCTTTTAAGATCCTCCTGTCCCTGGTCAAAGAGACCAAAGGAATGATTTTCGTGTTATTACATGAGTAAGAGTAAAGGAATGTTCCTTACTATTGTAATGTCCACATAAATGTAAACTTCTGCCAGTATTATTTGCTGAACCTCAACAGTGTACTTGGGTCTGCACAGTGCATAGACCTGCATTATTCTGTACAAATTTTAAAAACAAAAGGCAAACTTACTAATTGTTCTAGATTCCAGCACACTTAGGAAACTTACTTTACATGTTAACATACCATACGTTTTCTTATCCGTTCTGCTCTGTGCCACAACAGTTGAGTTTTCAACAAGTTGGTTCATACTTTTTAAATGGTGTTAGACAATCACTCTGTAATTGAAGAGAGCTGGAGCAACAATTTCAGATTAAGACATGCACACAAATACACTTCAAAAGTTTTATTGTTCAGCGAAGCACATTATCTTCATAAACATGCAATCAATCTTAAACACCAGCTTTTATTAACTTTATTGTCATTCATGCTGTTCTAATCTAATCTGAAACTTAGGGGAAGTTCAAATGGTAGGTATCTTCTCTTCAGCAGACCTATTACTTAAATGTAATTAACCTGTTTTTAAATTACTTAAGCATGAAGAGAATTTTTCCACTCCATATGTAACCTAGTGCTGAAGGCAAAGGGAAAAATTCTGACCCCTGTTACATTAGTATGAACCCACTGGGATTTCTTGGATGTTTCCGGGACACAATTTGGGTCATACTTATTTTCAATAGCATGCAGTTAATACTTGGAGGGGTTTTCCCCCTCAGATCTTCTAGACTTTGGGATTGGCTGTGAGATAGTCAGAAGAAAAAGAACCCTTTAAACAACATAACCCAACATTTGTGTTTGAGTTAAATGGATATAGCTATTCTGATGGCAAAAACAAGAGCTTCTTGCTTTCATATCCTCCATTCTTGGTGCCACTGTGTTTTTGACTTTTCCTGAAGAATTTCTAGAGTAGACATGAGCTCTAGAGATGTGGTGCCCCTCTTTACCCATGCCCAAAAGGGTAGACAGTAGAGGCAGCAATTTGAAGGAAGCTGCTGTGATAGAAGATGCTGGTCTCACCACACATTATGCACTATGGTGGTGGTGACCCCTGGACTGAGGCTTAAAGATGTTTCCAAGTCACATGAGATCTAAAAGGTGCATTGTCATGCTGTTAAGTTCAGCTTTTGGTCTGAATGACATTATGTCTGAAACCCATAGTTTAAACAGTTGTTGTGTCTGTTATCCAAGTGAAAGCACTAGGACCAAAGCACTTGACCTTACACCCAGTGAACTAAACAAACTCATTAGAAAAGTGCTTGGATCTCAGAGCTATAACCTGCCAGCGTTCCACTCCTGGAATTTACAGTAACTTCCACAACAGACCTTGACCTAATTTAAAAAAGGAACAATGTACCTAGACTTTAATTGATTAAAAGTCAAATTTTAGAAAACTGAACAAATATTAAATTACACAAATATAAATTTACAGGAACGAAGAAACTTAAGTAAATTCTAAGCTACTCTGCCTTGGCAGGACAATGGACTTGATAAGCCAACATGTCAGTCTTTTCCATTTCTATGACCCTCTATGAACATTATACAATAGTATCACCCACTGGAGCAGTAATGATGGAGGGATAGACCTTTTGGTGGGAGGTTTAATTACCAGCTGGGAGGGGCCGATACTGGAGGTAGCACAGGTAAGGGTGGTCAACCCATCACTCATAAACCTGCAAGTCAGTGCCCTGTGCCATGGCAGTTATAACTATAAGAGGATGAATTTGATTACAAGGACAGGCACGTTCTTCAGCTGTTTCAGCTAGTACAAACAGGACCTGCTTACAGACATATGATGCTGTATATCAGTCCAGTCACTTGATTCATCTCTCTCCCTTTCATTCAGCTTATAACATGCAGTCTTTTATAGTGCATAATTTTATTATGTCAAAGCAGAGAAGACACCACCTCGCTACTGAGTTAATGGCAAACAATAAGTAACACAGACAACAAAATATAGCATTTGAGTCTTGTTATTCCATACATAAAGTTTTAGTTTAGAGTGTTCTCAAAAATCATGTACATGGTGACCAGACAACAGCCAGTATAAACTGTGCTGAAAATATCTTCTTTATTTTCAGGAAACAGATTATAGCTCAATGAAATCAACAGGGTGTGGGATTTGCAACAGCTCTCCTCTCCCGGGGCCAGATAATGGCCCTACCTTCCACAGCTGGGAAGGAGCACAAGGAGGAGGAAGGGACACCCCCCCACACACCCAATGTGCTGGCCAGCGTAAGGTCTGGTTCAGCTTAGTTCTCCTCTAGGGAGGCAACCTGTGACCTTTGGACTCCAGGCCACCATTCAGAGCCTGCCCAACACAATTACATGTTGCACCTTGGTCAGGGAAATTGGAAGCTACAATCTGGCCCTAGAAATTGTTTTGCCAATGGTTTGGGCAATCTGAGAAAATGAAGAATCAGTGATAATTTCATTTCTCCTGTGAGCTCTGTGTGTACACTGGCTAATACCATTTTAAGGCATTGTTGTTAACCAGAAGTAACCAAACAGAAAATCAACAAGATATCACTTTATTTTATAGACACTTCTATAACCATATAATTGCTTTGTCATTAACATGGCAAACTCCACTGCACACTTTAAAGGACAAAACAGGATTTGGTTTTGCTGCCTTTGATACTCAAGGGATCCCCGATGCTATACAAAGCATTTAGTTAGATACAAGTGCAGTGACTCTTTGCAAACTGAGCATCCACTGTGCACTCAGAAATACTTCACACACAGCCCTGAATATTAGCATGTGCTGTTTTGTGATTTCATGAGAATGCGCCACTTCAAAAGAAACAACTAACCAGATAATTACATCCTGCAGGCCTAACTCAGTCAGAGTTCCCAAATAAATTGCTGAATAAGACTGCAGGATTTGGTCTTTGGTGACTAGCCTCCATATTAACATACATCATGGTCAACATTTGCATTGCAGATGCAAGATTACATGGTTAGCTGTGCTCTATAAAATGAAGGACTGTATTAAATAGATTATGAAATTGTACAGAAGTATTATAGATTATTAACATCCTACTTTTATTATTAATCATCATTATATGTCACCATAACATTAGTACTTCAGTGTAAATGCTGCAAACATACAAGCGATTAGATAGGCAGAGTACTGGGTAGATTAAAAATGCTCAGATCTCTTAATCATCCCCCCAAGTCTTTGAGTAAGGCTGGTGGTCAGCAGATGATAAATGTTTTAGTTTAACAACCCAAATGTTTTCTTTGTTTTCCTCCCACACACCTTAACTCTGTCAGTTATTTTGCTAGGTGTTTGGTTCCTCATAGAAAATCCAGTAGCACTCTGGCAGGTCACACCTGAGGCAGGCTGTTAGCTGGCTGAAACATCGTTCTTTTAGTTTTTTCACTTTCCTGCATACAAAGGAAACAAACAGTGAATAGCTAGAGGGCTTAATCTTTTAAAAAATTCTTTACACCATTTTCTACTAGGAAGATAACCAGGTAGTTTGAGAGATTTCACTCACGCACATTTATACCACTGACACTTTATTCCACTGAGAGCATCTTGCTATACATATGTAGCACTGACTGCATTTATGGGATAGAAGCTTGACAGTTGATTCCCACAAACCATTGTCAAAACTTCACATCAACACTTGTAAACAGAATTAGCAGTGGGGCCACTTAGCAACCAAATGCCTTTGCTTTTGCATTCTTACAGCATGGCGCCGCCTCCTTTTAGGCTGAATGCACTCCTGTCCATAGGATGGCCATGGGAACCCTTTGGGGGCCATTTGGCTATTCTCCCTCTCCACCTCTTCAGAATCAGAGTCTTCTTGTTGCATCAAAGGAAAATGCTTGTCTGGATAAATGTCCTTCAGCTTGCCCTCAAAGAACACTTCCAGGCATCGTCCAGCCTCTGCAACCTCTGAATCTGGCTGTAAGGGAAGAAATAATAATCCAGTATCATTGTATGCCCATAACTCTCCAAGGCTAAAATAGCAGGTCTGCCTAGCCTCCTGTCTGAAACAGGAGCATCCTGTATTTGGAACTTGTCTCCTACATCTCCATTGGCCTCCTCTGCTCTTCCCACAATCTGCCAAGTTCCTCTGCACTTACAGCATACGTTTAATCCAGGTGCTGCTATTAAGAGAGGCATTTTCTGCATCCATTAGAAAATGGATCTGCTATTGGCTACAGTAACTGAGAGCATCCTCCTCCAGTGCTTTGGAATCTGTTAGCTCTCCTCCCACAAACCTTAATTCTCCCAGTTACTTTGCTGGATGTTTGGCTCCTTATAGCAAATCCAGTAGCATTCCAGTAGCTCACATCTCAGGAAGTCCATTAGCTGGCTGACACATCGTTCTTTTAGTTTTTATATTCAGATAGCTCCAGTCTCCAAACACATATTTCTGGCAATAACAAATCTATAGAATTTCTAAGAGTTAAGGAGTCTCATTATCCACTCGATTAGACCAGTTTTATGCCATTGTAACTCCAATGGAATCAATAGTTACGCCAGTGTAATAAAGTGGTGGATAAGACCCACGATTTCTGTTGTTTCACAGATTGATGGTGGTGTGTGCTTGGTTTCTGCATAGCAGATACTTACATAATTGAACTTTGCACAGTTCCAGAACATGAGACGCACATCAGCTACCAGCTCCTCTGGTGCAGAATAGTGTGATTTGTCCTTCTTTTGGAGTTTTTTCCGCATGATTGACAGATCCATGGGCCTTTTGATTATCTGGTAATAATGACGAGCCTGTGATCAAAAGAAAATGCAGGGAGATTGTTAGGCATAAACTTTGTCAAAGTGGGAACCCAGTTAATTAATAATACACCTCTACCCCGATATAACGCGACCCGATATAACACGAATTTGGATATAATGCGGTAAAGCAGCGCTCTGGGGGGGTGGGGCTGTGCACTCCGGCAGATCAAAGCAAGTTCGATATAACGCGGTTTCACCTATAACGCGGTAAGATTTTTTGGTTCCCGAGGACAGCGTTATATCGGGGTAGAAGTGTACTACTCTGGCTACAGTGCCTTCCATCTAAAGATCTCAAACATCCCTGTGAGGTAAATAAGTATTATTATTTCCATTCTACAAATAAGGAAAGTGAGTTACAGGACAACAAGAGTGATTCATCCATGGTTACACAGGAAATCTGAGGAAAAATCCGACTCCTACACTTAAAGATAATCTTCCTTATTCCTTAGTTAACAAATATGAGGCTGGATTAAACACATATCTGCTTGCAAGACTGATCTTCAAACCACTGCACTGTGGTGACTGTTCTTCTGCTATTTCCAGTCTCTGGAGTTCCACCCCATTATAGCATGATGCTCCTGTTATCATTTAACCCTTATGGATACAGTAATATGTGTAATACTGACAACAAAATAACACCTCCCCCCAATCAGCCTTAACAATAATGTTCTGAGACGATGTCACCTTGCAGTTTAGAAAAGCATCTGGCACTGGCCACTGTTAGATACAGGATACTGGGCTAGATGATCTGACACAGCATGGCCATTCTTATGTTCTTAACAAATGTATCTAATAAACTAATCAGGGCCCTGTAATGGGAACAAATTGCGGGTTAAACCATAATGGACTGGCATTCTTATACTGCCTTTAAACCAAAGCACCATTGTCAGGGCTCAGCCTGTAGTGGCTATAAAGTGTGTCACCACAGAATTTTTCTGATGCCAACCTCAGCTTCTTCAGTGGGCACCAGATATTAGGATCTCTCTCTCTTCCCCTCCCATTTAATCTTCCCAAGAAGCAACTTGCTTGCTGGTAATGAGTTCCACAAGTGCCTGGTGATTTGCTTTGAGTTGCAATTTCTTCTTTATATTATATTACTATATGGGTCATTCATTCTGCTTTTCTCTAATTTTCTCCTCCAAACTGCTTCATGCTGGGGTCCAGTATCATGATATTTACCGTTGTGTTCTCCTCAACATACCCAGTAAATACTGGAGAGACAGCATGGTGCCTGGATCAACGAGCAACAACTGTCTTAAGAGACAGACACCAGAGAATGGCATCACCTCTATCATGCATCCAGTTACTCCAAAGTCCAGGTCACTCTTAGGTAGGCTTGGCAGAATTCAGTTTTTATATTTTTATAATTTTGACAATTATCGATATTTATTTTTAAGCATTTATTTTTTATCAATTTCAGTTTTTACAGTTGTATAAAATTACGGGTTTTAAGCATTTTTTCCTATTTCAATCTATTCAAATTTTCAGAGTTTTGGGAAATTAAGGGTTGGGTGGGTCAGACAGACAATAATTTAATGACAGTAGACATAGAGATTCAAAAAGTTAAAGCTTTATAATCATTAAAACACCAACTGTCAACATCACATGTCAAAATATACAAAGCAAATACCCTTAATTCAAACTCTAATACATTCTCAAGCAGCATTTTCCTTACTTTGCCTACCTGTAAATTATTATTATTAAAATGGAAATATTTTTGTTGGTTTGTGTTTGTAAGGTGAAATTGATGTTTACTGACATTTACCAGTAAAAATCTAATCCTTCCAAACCTACTCTTATGGCAGCATGATATAGTGCCACTGCACCCCTGGGCTATCTTGCATTTTCTACATATCCAGTAAGTGGATTAGAGTTTGTGAGGGCCCTGGTCCAGAGCAAATGGGCCCCCCCCGCTTTCTGCCAGGCAGAGCAGGGCAAGCCCCCACGCACCGTCCTCCCTCTTAGGCAAGAGTGCCCGTGGGCGGGTGGAGCAGGACGGGGCGCCCATTTTTCCAGGGCCCCCGGGTACATGCCCCATTGACCCAGTGACTAATCTGCCACTGCCAGTAAGTCAATAGTCCTAACTTAATGTGACACCTCCCACCAACCTGGCATTCTGTAAACATCTTACACTAAACCCCCAAACGTGCTATTAGAAAATTTGCTGGCATGTTGTATCGGCCATCAGTGTTTCAGTTTCTGATCTGGTACCTTAGTGGCACTGCACAAGAGGGAACACCTAACAGTAGGTGACTCCACTGTTTAGTTGGAATGTCAGTGATTATCCTTTGAGAAGACAAGAAGAGAGTTGTGAGCAGAGGTCGATTATTCTTTGGATCATCTCCTAGTTCTCTGCGTATGTAGCACTTACCAGTGGACTGACAGGCTCATGGAATGGAAGGCTCAGGCTACTGCAGAACAAGGCAAGCACCAACTTTTCACATTTCTGTAAAACCCAAAATTAGAATCAATGCTGAGACTACTGGGAGTTGCTGCAGATCCATGCACTTCTGAATACTGAAGGGTATGCTTCCTAACCCTGTGTATAATCAGCCTCATTTCATAACCAAGTACTTTAATACCACACACCATGCTGATGATAACACTACTTTTCTTCTGTTTCTTTTAAGATCCATATGATTTTGGATGTTTCTTTCTAAATAAATATTTTATTGCATTATTAGACAGAATCTTGGGAAATCACCCCTCCCCCGCTTTCTGCACTCACTCCTTCCACACTCACTTCTTTCAGTCACTGATTAAAAGAACAGCAGCAACAGTAAAAACTACTTAGCTGAGAACATTTCACTATCAGAGGCACCTGCTGTGATCTACATGGAGGTATCATATGTACAGAACATGGGATAATAGGAGCTAAATTTTCAAGAGGCTCCTGAAAATGTGGCCTTTTAGCTTTTCTTTTTGCAAGTGCACAAAGGGCTACATCTGTGAATGAAGACTAGCACTTACACACACAATTGTTTGTGCATAAATGGAAGGTTTGTGTACCCACATGGCTACACTTACTCATCTCACACGTATATTTTCAAAGGCCCTTTGAAAATTTGGCTCTGGGTGTCTGCTAAATGACATTAATTTATTGACCCTGTTTCTTTAAGAATACAGAATCTTAAACACATTAAATAATTTGATACTTCTTAGAATTTTGCAAACGATAAACTCTTTGCTGCTTCCTATTCTGTCTAATCCCCTTTACAAATCTTTTCCCAATGCATCCACACACAGCTACAATTAAAAGAAATCTTTTCTTTAGAAAGTTCGCCACCAAGGACCAATTAACAGTAGGCAATCAGCACAAATCTCTGGCAGTAGTTGGCCAAATGTTCCATGTTAATATAAATGCATATACAACAGTGAAAGATGGTTAGTAGTACAATATAAAAAAAAAGCATAACGTTCATGGTAACTGGAGAAACATTTATATTATCATTCTTTCGTTTTCTCAGTTGGTGCCAGGAACTTTGCTTCAGAACTGTCAGTGAGCCATTACATTTCAACTTTGTTCGGTAACCAACCAAGGGAAATCTTTGTCGCCAATTCCTTTTCCCTACAGAAACTCCAAAATATCTGAACAATTCCAGATATCACTGAGATGCACAAGCTCCCTCTTGTATTTGTGATGCTTGGTTCATGGTGCAAGGTGCTGAGTAGACTGGAGTTTACTGCACAGGCTTTCAGAATAGAGTTATATTTCATGGGGGATTTACTAGCTGAGGAGACTGGCAATGGGGAATTCTGTGTCTATATTTATTGGTATATATTTGTACCCACCTTCTGGTCAAGGTCATCAAGGCCATGCAGTGCTCTATCCCCTTTGTTACAACGGCTGTGGCGTGTGTTTTCGCAGTCGTACTCTACCTCGGGCTTCAACAGGTTACGGCAGAGTGTACACACCCATTCTCCCCTGCAGCACAAGAGAGCAAAATGTCATGTCCTGAATTGAAAGGACAACTGATACCTAATGGAAAGCTTTGGGAAATACGGTATTTAGAAACAATTCTGGTCTTTTATAATACATCTTCTCTACTGTTATCTATTATTTGCATTAAAAAAAGGCCCCAATCAGTCCCCTCCCCATCTAATTTAACACAAGATGCTTGCTAAATCCACTGTGCCAACAGGATGGAGCAGAGGGAGGGAGGAGGAGGGAAACTGTAATAAGAGCATGTGTGAGCATATGCCAGTGAGTGCACAGCTAGATGGTTTCCAGTGTAGTTTTTTAAAAAAAATAAAAATATAGGGAAAACAAATCAATGCAATAAATATCGGAGGTCCCTGGGGCCATTGTCAGTATTTCTCTTTCTTTGATCCTTACTGATCAGAGCCTTTCCATTGATTTTAGGGGGGACTGGTTCAGGCCCTTATAGATTACAGAGTCAGTTATTCAAAATATAGAAAGGATTTATACAAAGATACTCGTCAAGCTACAGTAAATCCTCAATAACCGCTGAAAAAGAATTGGTTCAAAACATCCATGGGCAAAGAATTCAAAGTTATCTCCATGTGTGTTTGCTGGGATAAATGGCCCCAAATGATTGAAAGGGACTCTGCATGGATGTAAGGGGTCCATACTGGCAGATCCTTTAGCAGGAGCCCCATTGCTCTCAAAGGAACTCTGACAGATGCAACTTTTGTAGAATCCAGGCCTAAATATCTACCATTAAGAAAAGTTACAGTGACAGGCAAACAACATTGCCTCACCTCCTTCCCCTGAAAAAGAACTAGCTACATTTAGGGACTAAATGGCTTCAACAGGGATGAATCTGAAGCTGGCCCAGCACGTTTATGTTATAGGGAAAGTTTGCTTTATACAATGTTTTAACAATTTAGCTATTTCTAGCAACAACAACAAAATGAAAACTTGCAGGCTTGGGAGGAGAAAGGATTGTCCATACCCCTCAAACCAATACCCACCTTTCAAGGGATTTCCATCATTTTAGAGGCAAATTTACCTGCACTCCACACAAATGTGGTGTCTCTGACTCTTCCTTTTGTAAATGACTTACATCTGAAATTCAGAATCATGGAACTGAGGTTTATAGATGTTGGCAGGTTGAGAGATATGAGAAGGACCCAGGGGCTACTGCAGAAGCACTGGTTTTCTGTACAAAAGCCCCAGCCTTCCACAAATATCTTAAGAGTCATAGGTCTGAAGCTGAGGTCATCCACATACTGTATTTAGAAGGCCTTGCTGCCTGCCTTCTTTGTGTGTGTGTGGGGGGGGGGGAGGGGGGAACGATCTCCCCCTAATGAAACCAGGAGGAAACTCTACAAAATGAAACTCACTGATTTTCCTGGTCCCTGCACTGTTTTTTACCCCGACAGGGGATAATCTGAACTTTACCACAGATTTTATACAAAATCTAAGGATTTAGTTGTCTCCAACACACTGCAGTCATGTTTATAAAATTCAAGTCAGCCTCTCCATTAGAGTGCTGGCTGGAGGAGATCATAGATACTGTTAATAATTCATCTGACTCCTGGTATGAGAGAGTGGGAAAATTTTCCTGCCTTTTGTAAAATGACCAAAAAAGGCAATACAGAGAGAGAATGTGATAGAGCCCTTGTAACACTGACATATATGTCCCTCAGGCAGAATCAGAGACAGAATAAGGGAAGTGTTAGATGTACTCACACTGGGAAGCTGAGCAGAGCTGGAACATGGCATGAGAGATGGAACACTTTGGGGCAGTGATCACAACACAACAGTTCTCCTCCATTCAGACAAACAGCACAGAAATCCTCGTTCTCAATTGGATCGGCTTCCTGAGCGAGCAGAGACTTTTTCATGCTGGGGATGCCATTCCCATTGCTAAGCTTGTGATCAACAGGAGGGATATCTACAAAAGCAGACGGTTCCTGTCCTGCTGGGTGGCTGATGGGGAACTTCCTATCTTCGTATGTGGGAATCGGTCCTTCAGGTGGACTATCTTGATTGACCTTGGAAGAAAGAAATCCAGAATAACAGAATCATCTTTTTCACATCTGATGCCCTAACTGTAACAGAGGCCTATCTGAAGTGGACTCTGCTGGATACAGCATTGGACTGGAACTCTGGTCTCTGCTACTGGCCTGCTAGGTGACTGTGGCCAAGTCACTTCCGGTCCTGGCCTCAATTTCCCTATCTGTAAAACAGGGATAATGATACTGACCTCCATCGTAAAGTGCTTGGAAAGCTAAAGATGAAAAGTACTATGTAAGAGCTGGATATTATTAATTATTATTATTATTATTAAAAGTCTGTCACAGGAACCAGTTCCAGCTTAGATGTCAACTCTATATTGTTTTTCGTGACAACTAAATTCCATGCAGCATCCCTGGTGAATGCAAGTTTTAAAGGAAATGCACTTTTGTGTCAAAAAGGGATTAGGTCTGTTGCTCTCATCCACGTCAATGCCAAACCTCCACTGATTTCAATGGGAACAAGTTCAGGCCCAAAGCTATGTTGAGGAGGCAGAAGGTTCCTTTTTAAATACTATTAAATTGAACTTCAGTTCTAAAGCATAGGTCTGACGGGTCTTAGATTTGTTTTTAAGCCGTTCGCCCTGTATGATGGATGGATCAAAGCGGCTACTTACAGCACCAATATACAACCACTGCTTTAGTGTCAAAGCCCATCGGAAGTACTCTTGAAAGGAAAGTAACAGGGTGGCGGGGGATACTCTAAGAACACAGCTAACAAGTGCTGCAATAGTTATTAATCTTAGAGTTTTATACTGCTGCCCATCACCAAAGTATCTAGAGTATCTTAGAATAGTAAAATCCATCAGCAGGGCAGTTCAGAGTATCACAAGAATCCTAGCAAAGTCAGTGGGGGAAGAGAGAGAAAGCAAGCAAACAACCAAACAACCATGCAAACCCAACTCACTTTTATAGCCATACTTGAAGACTGGGTACCACATTCAATTATCAGAAGGAAAGTCTCATCTTGGTCATCCTTCTGGGGCTGCAGTTTGAACACTGGAAGCTCCCCAGATTCTGATGCACATATTTTCAGGCGTTCCAATCGCACATAGGGGATCTTCAGCTCTTTAGTATAAGCTCTGAAATTATGATAAAATTCATTAGTATTGTACAGAGTCCTCTTCTTCTAATTTCAACATCTTTTCCGTATTACTCTGTTTTTTAAGGCAAAGCATTAAAGCACATGCCTAAAGGTGAAGTCAGTGGAATTTACGCACACGCTGCCGTGCTTTGCTAAAGAGGAACAGGACTCCTCACCTTTTTTAATTTAATCATGTGCTTAGCTACTTTGCTGAATTGGGGCCTAAATCTCTACCTACGATGTCTGCCCTCCTGCCTTTGTGCTTCAACTGCCCAAAGCCAGTTAGGGCAGACACTCTTCAGAGTGCGACTGGCTTCAAGAAAGATCACACTAGCCACATCATTTCAAAGTGAAAATATTCAGAAAACAATATTTGGAAGCAAAATTATGCAAAAATTGCAAGATAATTTAGAGTCCTGCACTCCTTGTTCTGTTGTATCTTTCTGGACTATACAGTACTTTTCATACATAATTTGGATTATGTGGCATTTTAGTAGTTCCAATGGTATAATCTATAAATAGTGATATGTTCATGATCATAAAGCGTGTCACAGAAGATGTACGAATCCAACATTGCTTTGAAAATGTAGTTTTCCAGTTTATGAAAATGCTTTTTAAAATGTAAATCTGTCTGCCCTGAGCTGGGCTGAGACCCCAACTCATTTCATACAGGTGAACAAAGTGCTATAAAATGGTAAAGACCTTTAGCTGTAAAATGTGTATGCATATTTTTTATAAGAAACCAGAGCAGAATAATGTTGTATTTAAGGTGAATTAACTGATACTTGATTATAAATGAGACAGCTAAAATAAAAATGAGCTTCAAGAAGGGTCTGGAAGTGTCTTTGTTTTTCTGTCAAGGTGGTAATGTACCTTCACTTGCATGTGATCTTATTTAATCACCCACCCCTCCCTGACCCCATACACTGCTAGATCCCTACAACATAGTAATACTAGCCGTGTGTAAAGTGTACATTCCACTGAAATTAGGAACACAAGAGGTGTTGGTAGATGTACTTGTTTTGTTCATCAGTGATATGCAGGCCCAGATTCTCACCCATACCAGAGCTCTGTGCAACATAGCTGCAGAGGTGGAGGAGGCGGTGTGTGCAATAGGAGACACCTTTGTGCTCCCCCAAGTCCCAGTATGGCTGGGGCCCATTTCACACCTCTTAAAAGTACCCGTGCAATTTCAAAAAGCCCTTGCAAATGCCTTCAAGCAACTGGAATATATGGCATTAGTCATGGTTGCTACTTTATGTCTCCTGGAATTATTAGTTACAAGGCAACCTGTTTTCCTTTTAAAACAACCTGCCAACAACACTAAGCTGGATACACTCTATGTGCATCAAATTTCATGGCCAGTACTTCTATGCAGAAAGTGATTCTATTACCTGATGTTCTGATTACTTTTTACATCCATCTCAATATGTTCCTTTTCATAATTACTGGACTCTGGAACAGAAAAGAAAATTAAGAAAATATCTATAATATCAAAGTCAGATTAGGGTAGAGAGGCACTTTAATATTCACGTAATGTGATATCTCATTTGCAATCTTGAATAATTTCATATCTGTCTAAGGTAATTACCTGCCCCCCATCACTCACAGTATCTGAGCACCTCACTAAACGTTACCGTCTTTGTCCTCACAACACCTCTGTGCGGTAGAGAAACACTATTATCCACATTTACAGATAGGGAACTGAGGCACTCAGTTAGGCACCTAAATACCTTTGAGGATCTGGGCCTAAATGACTTGCCCAAGATCACACAGGATATTTGTGGTGGAGCAGGAATTGAATTTGAATCTCCCACAGCCCATCCTTCCTCACACACACACAAGCACCATTTTTCTCCTCCCCATGTGGCACTGTGCGTGTAATCCTCATTACAGAATTTAACTACATAGGATTAATTTGGGAACAGGGGGCTCTAGTCTACTGTCATTGACTGAAATGGGAACAGGATTGGGTCCATTATGAACACTACCATTTTCCTCCTTAAATAGGACAACGTTAAAGAGAAAATAATCGGAACGCCACAGTTTTAAGGAGTAGGGTGACCAGACAGCAAGTGTGAAAAATCAGGACAGGGTGTGGGGAGGTAATTGGTACCTATATAAGAAAAGCCCCAAACATCGGGGCTGTCCCTATAAAATCGGGACATCTGGTCACACTATTAAGGAGTCAACATGGAAGTGCAAGGTAAATGTTGCAGGAGCACTGCATTGGATCAGATTGTGAGAGGCCCTTGTGTGGCCACCAAGGGGTGAGTATGACAGAACGTACCTGTGTCCACACCCTACATGCTGTTGTAATAATCTTTGTACAAACTATGCTTTGTGAGGTATCATCTGAAAACTCAATTTGCTGATCAATAATATCATGGCAAAATGTATGTTAGGGGCATTATATGCAGGGGTGAAAGTAAGTTAAAGGACTTACCAGTACGCCGAAGTCCTGAGCAGGGGGTGGGGTCTCAACCGGAAGAGGCGTGGCCTCAATCAGAAGAGGCGGGGCTTTTAAATCCCCAGGCCCTTTAAATCAAGATTTAAAGGGCCCGGGGCTCCGGCTGTGGTAGCAGTGGCTGGGAGCCCCAAGCCCTTTAAATCACCCCCGGAGCTACGAGCTGCAGAGGCGGCTGGGAGCTCCAGGGCTAGGGGGAGATTTAAAGGACTCAGGGCTCCTGGCTGCCGCTACCGCAGCGGAACCCCGGGCCCTTTAAATTGCCACCGCTACCCCAGGCTCAGAGCTCTGGTGGAGATTTAAAGGGCCCGGGACATGGAGGAGGCATGCTCAAGGCTCTGATCTCTACACCAGCCCGCAGACTGGGGCCAGAGCTCCAAGGGCAGCAATGGCACTTAGATTGTAGCTGCCTGACACACAGTCTCTCCAGTGCTCCTTCTGGAGTGCTGAGATCCTCACTACCCATACAGAGTGTTGTGGCATAACTGCCAGCACCTGGTTCAATACATGTAAGACTAATGAGTTCTCTTGTTTCACTGTGGTGGAGCCCTCTTTGTATCAATTATAATCTTCTGAGTATAATTACACTGCTCCGATAGTAATATTAATTTAGCCATTATAGAGAAAAGCAGCCAAATATTGGTATAAGTCACAGAATAATAGCTTGATCCTGCAATCCCTTACTTGCGTGAATAGTCCCATTGACTTTAACATTTGCAGCATTGAGCCCTTACAGTGTTGGCAATTTGCCTGTGAAGGCAGTTAGGCAAAGTCTCGTTCTCCATTAAGAATAGAGACGTAGTCCTTGGCTGAAGGGAATGTTATGCAGTACAATAAGCCAAGAAAAAAAAGTCACTGTGCAGTATGCTAACTTACCCAATATTGCTATGCTATTTAAGTGTAGCACTTAGCGGTAGTCACCTTACATTTCATAGAATATTCATAGAATATTAGGGTTGGAAGGGACCTCAGGAGGTCATCTAGTATTTCGGAAGTAATTTTAAAAAAAGGGAGAATTTGGACTGTTCAAATCAGTTCTTCCCTAGTGATCACTGCAAGTCTCATCAACAGGAGATCTTCTAAGAGAACTAATCCTCCGAGCACTTAACATCAATACACCACTTGCAAGCTTTCAGCCCTTTCTGATTCAGTGATGTGCTAGATAGCAATTTGAGAGAGAAGATTTCCATGTTTTTCCTCTACAAATGAGACTAAACATTCCTTTCCACTGTGTTAGGTACTTGATAATGTTTTAAACAATGCTGGAGTAGTCTGCAGTACAATAAGATGAATTACATTTAGTTAGGTACAGAAATGACCACACTGTACTGCAAGGCCTGCGAGTATGGCAGTGTTGAGCTCTGTGAGATCTTCTCATGAGTTGGGTTAAAATCCCTGTTGATGTTGATACGTGTGAACTCATGCTTCAATTAACATAACTGGAAACATAAGCCCCACCTATGACATAAGTATGTGTGAACCTGTCCAGGAGCTTTGGAGCGGAGTATTGTTTTTGGGTACGGGTATGTGGGAGTGAGAGAGAACATATACAGGGATTGGAGTCACAGACAAGACTGAGGCAGAGGAAAAGAGAGGCAAAAAAAACCCAGGCAGGATCCTGTGAACGCAATGTGACCCTGGAAAAAGCTAGAGAGCATGTTTTTGGGTCGAGTGTTGGCTAAAGGGGCTTGGAGGGCTGGTAAGCTAAGAAACTGCTCTATTCTGTTCTTGGCTCCTGCATTCAGAGACACAGGACTTTGTACATTCCTTGTAAATAAACAAGACTGCAATAAAGTAATACCTGTCTACCACCAAGTTCTACTCCCAATTGTAACACCTACTGAGCCCCAAACTTTGACTAGCCACTTGGGTTAAAAATGGACAACAGCAGTTTAAAAAAAAAAAAAGACGATAAAGAAAAACCTGGTACCTTCTTCATTTCTAAGTTGTTTTACACTGGTCAACTGCAGGCAAGCAGCACCGCTGATGGGTGCAGAAAGAGAGGCACACTGTTGCGATTTCTTGACTGAAAGATTAATAGGCTCTTCTAGCATTTTTTGCATAGGAAGAGCTAATTCATTAATGGTGTTCGGTCCAGCAGTGGCTGAGTCATTTCCAAGAGGGTCATTCATGGTACTAAAATCTTCATTTTCCAGCTTGAGAGGAAAAAGAGTAATTCAAAATTTACTGTTTACTTTTTTAAATTTCCACTCCAAGAAAATAACTCTAACAAGTAAGTCTTCAAATATCATTAGAGGAGCAGGATTTCTTTTTTCAAAGTAACAACCTTCAACCTACTGACTATGACAACAACAAGCGTTATCAATTAAAGTGCATTCCTTAGCTATAAAGTAGCCAGATGTGTTAGCAATTCTTACCTTGCACTTAGTGTTCCCCAGGAGTAAATCACCTGTTGCTAGGTTATCAGTTGTCCAAGGGTTCAGGTCATTTGTAGAGCTGTCTAATGCCAAGCTATAGCTAGGCACAGATTCTGGCTGAACATCAGAGGCATGAAGCATGTTCTGGGATTGGTTAAGCGTTACAGTAGATACACCTTGCATCTGTGGATCAACCGACCTAGATAACCTTGTAGAAGACGGTTCCATTTCTAAAGGATTTGAAAAGCCCACAATGTTCAGTGAAGCCGAATGCTGAAAAACAAATATGTTAATCAGCTTTTAAAACAGTAAAATGCTGCTGTTATTTCTAGAGAGCCTGAGATGCTGTATCTCATAATGTCTAATGAAGCCATGTCACAAGAGCTTTGAAAGTATCTATGGTAATCTCATGTCATTTACCAAAAGGCTTTATAATTTCCATGATTAAAGCCAAAATCTTGAAACACAGATCCCTGAGACTCTTCCCTGCAAGCTACCAGACTCTCTTTCTTTTATCACTATAATGGGTCCTGATTTCTTACTCCTTATAACGAATGAGAAATCTAAGCACTGGAATATCGGACCAAATCCATCCCTGGTGTAACTCTGGTGATTTCAGTGAGGTTACACTACAGACAATGTAAGAATTGGACCTAGTATAAGTGAATGCAACTTTAGTGACTTCAGTGATACGGAGCACATTACACCAAAGGATGAGTTTGGCCAATTGAGCTTAAGGCACTTCTTTATAGCATCAAACTGTAAATGGGAAAAATACATGTTACAAATATCAGACTGTTGAAGAAAGGATGCACCTGTCTAGTTATCAGAGAAAGGGGGGAAAAAATACCCATCCAAGCAAGGTCTTTGCAAGAATAATTTTAATGAAATGTATCTGCTAGTGTTTCATGCTTTCTTGGGGCATTTCACTGTCAAACACAGAAATAAGGATATGCAAACCAAGGCAAATCCACTCATTTGTGTGATTTCTTTAAGCTGTTTTACAGCACTGTGTGTGTGACATGATTGAAATCCTGACTCTTCTATAGTCCCTATCAAACAAATGTAAGTAGTCTTAAGAAGTATGCAGATCTGCATTCTTTGAAGATGTGCTTCCACATTTAGTTTCTCACAGTTCAGTGATATTCATTATGCCTGAGAATTTACAGAATAAATCCTTTTAATTTAACTGCAATATCATAAGTTTTACTTGTTATACAGAATGATAAAGAAACAGCCATTTGTTTTTTGCATTTAACAACTATTATTAGTCCATTCTGAATTCTGATAACTTGTTCCAAGTCAACAGGGCAATAGTGAAGTAGCATCAAAAGATAGTTGTCCAGATTCTGCTCTCTGTTATACACCTCTACCCCGATATAATGCTGTCCTCGGGAGCCAAAAAATCTTACCACGTTATAGGTGAAACCGCGTTATATCGAACTTGCTTTGATCCGCTGGAATGCGCAGCCCCCTTCCCCCCGAGCACTGCTTTACCACGTTATATCCAAATTTGTGTTTTGTCGGGTCGCGTTATATCGGGGTAGAGGTGTATTTGTGTAAATTCTAGTATGGCACAGTGCTGGGAATCAACAGCTGATCCAGCACTCTGGTCACTTAAACACCAATTAAGTCTCCTTCGGGTGGACCTGTTGGAGCCTAATTAGTGGCTTAGAATGGGCTGGGGGAAGGACTAATGAGCAAATTGGTCCACTAACATAGGAGGTGTAAGGCGGCACAGGAAGGACATGCAGGGGAGAAAGAGGCAGGCTAGCAGAGCTAGAAAGGATCTCTAGTAGAGATCCCTTCCCTCTCTCCTTTAGCAGAGATGGTGTATGGATTGGTAAGGTGGTGGAAATGTAAGGCAAATGTAAACAAACTGTGCTGGGATATTTAACAACTGAAGGTCTCCGAGCCTGTGTATACTAAGCAAAAGACAGGAGTGGGACAGGGCCCTGTCACATCTGGCTAACTCCAATAAAGTCCGAACAGGTACTTGAGTCTTACAATGCAGCCCAGGTACATGCTGAGAACAGAGTCCAGCCCTATGACTTATTTTCACCTGAGCATGCAGTCTAATTTCCTTTTAACCACCCTGGAACTGATCCTACCGTGGGAGTTTTGCCTGAATAGGACTGCAGGATCAGGCTCCTATTAAACAAGATAAGATGACTGCATTTAAGATAGAAGGGACCTTATCTTCCCCAGCATTAGGGCAAGTTTACATCACTCTGTCAGCACAAAAGTCCACTAGAGCTGTCTTAACCAGCCACAGCAAGATTCCTTTTTGTCTCCTGCTGTAATCAATATATACATTTTTCCTCATGAATATTACAACATTGTCACCATCTGTTACAACCTAAGGCCTCACTCTGCAAAGACCTATGCATGCTGTGGGTGAAATGGTTGCCCCACTGAAGTCAATGGGAGTTTTGCCATTAACTTCAATGGTGCCAGGATTTCATCCTGTGAGTTGTCATACTGAAGACAATTGGACTACTCACAGTACATACAGTTAGAAATATGCATAGGTCTTTGCAAGATGAGGGCCTAAAGTATTTACAATGAACACATCTAGAGAGCTGAAATTCAACAGTTATATACTTATATACTTTTGACTCTGCCAGCTACAGTAGGTTTAGTGAGGAAACTTTTTAGATTGTATAAGCCAGTATAAAACATTACTCTTGCTAAAAAGGAAAAAGAATAATGAGGCCATCAAACTGCCATCTGTCTCTCCCTGGTGGCAGAAGTTAATTTTTGTGGTTATTTTAATGATGAGGAAACATTATGATCTTTCAGTACAAAATATTAAAACTCACAGTAAAGAACAGACACATTCCATTCTGATCCATGGAGCTGCTGTCAAGTGTGAAGTGAACAATGCACTGGGAACAAGGCTCATTAATATCCTATTAATTCACTCCCTAAAATAATCATTTCTTTTGCCATTAGCAAAAAATCTCTCTTTTCCCTTGGCAGCTCAGCTAGGGTTTGAAAATGTGATGGCTTCAAAGAACAGACCTTTGTTTTATGAAAGCACTATTGCTTTTACAGTGCACCCTTTGAACAACACCAAGCATTAACTATCATCCTGGGTAGATGGAGGTTTCAGGTGTAGGAAAATCTTTAGGGTCTGACATTTTAATGCACAGCTTGGCATACACAAATAGATCTGTGTCATTACAAATGGAATTCTTGTTATCTAATAATGAAATTTGGTCTGATGACCTTTGTGATATAATGGCTGTATCCACCAATTATCCAAATACGCTCTCTGCTGAAAATTTCATACCTATGGTAGTTTAAGGTAAGAATAAATAACATGCAAAGTAACCGTGAATAAAAAGTAAAACATTATTTAAATATTTCTTTGATCACAGTAGCATTCCAAGAAGGTCCTATGCAAACATGCAGCACTAACACAGAAGAATTCTGAGATGCAAATACTTACCTTGAAAGACTGGGATTAGGATTTGTTAGGATTGTTTTGGCAAAGTCTCAAGGCTGTTGACATTAAGTGTGATTTATAAAGAAGGCTAAAACTATGAACTGCCAATTCTCTTTGCTATAAGAGAAATAACAGAGCAAATGGTTGCAGAGTAATGAACGACTGCTATTAAGTGGAGCAATCCCCATGGCAGCTCATTATGCTAGTGAGGTTAAACAAATGCACTGCTCCAATCCAGTTGTTTAACTCGCCACTCACAGTAGCACTGATAAAACTGTCTATACATGCTTCCTATTTGTATTTCACAATTACAGGGTATAATCCAAAGGATCTCTTTTCCCTCCTATGAGAAAAAATCCAAATCTTTCTTAACCTTCTATCCTAACAAACTGGATCTTGTTTAAAGTGGAGGAAGAAAGATTCCATAGAGCAGGTGTGGTCACGTTTTATTTAACCTACTTTTCAGGTCAAAGCGATGGGTTTTGTTAAATACCTTTCTATGAAATATAGCTAACTGCATTAAGCATGAACATGTTTGTACTGTAAACAGCTCAACTGTTCATCCAACACACTGCAGTACCTTGGAAACTAACAGGACACTATTACAATGATTCATTCCTGAATACTGACAACAGTCTCAGTGCTGTCCTAATATAAACCAAGATACGCCCTTACCCTCCAAAACATATTCTTCATAAACCCTCAAATATCACTGTAGGAAAAAGCACCATCAGACATGTGTGCCATTCTATACCTTGGGAGAGCACCTTGTAACCCCCGTATTCCTCATTTTCATATAATTGTGATATTGCGTATAAAGCATGTCATGTGAGGTATCATGGGAAAGGTTATGATCTGCTGAAAGCCATTGTTCGATGCATATGAAGTTATGAGAATGTGCTGTATGGTTGTGACTAAAATATGCTGTGGGTTTGGGAACCACCCAGATACTAGCTCTCCAGAGACAATGCCAAAGAAAGTAATCAACGCCCGGGCGGGTGTCAAACAACCCATCAACAGCCATTGTCCAGCAAGGGCGCTACAATTCAATGACTCATCTGCAAAAGGCCACATCAGGGGAATTCCTCAACCTTGCCTGGAAACTCAGCAATGCCCACCAGACATGCCTGGACTTGTGTTCTCCAAGCACATGGAGTAAGGGTATAAAACAGAACACAGGGGCCCCACTAGGGTTACCATATTTCAATAGTGCAAAAAGAGGACACTCCACGGGACCCCGCCACCGCCCCAACTCCGCCCCTTCCCTGGCCCCGCCCCAACTCCGCCCCCTCCCCCGAGCACCCCACATTCCCCCTCCTCCCTCCCGCCCCCCGGCTGCTGCTGTGCTGGGGAAGTTGCTTCAGCCCCCGCCGCGGTGGAGAGCGGCGGGAGCCGGGAAAGTTGGAGCCCGGGGAGGAGGCGGTCCCCTTACCATGCCTCCCTATTTCCCCGGACATGTTCGGCTTTTTGGAAATTCCTCCCGGACGGGGATTTTGAGGACCAAAAAGCCGGACATGTCTGGAAAAATCCAGACGTATGGTAACCCTACCTCTGACACTCACCTCTCCCTCCACTGGAGGGACTCCCCTGTCCATACCTGTCCCGGGGCCTTCCTTTAAAGGGGCATCCCCATATCAGCGGGGTCTACTTGGAAAAGATAATATTTACTCCCTTGTGTGGCTGAGCTGGGCTGTGACAATCCAACCCATCATGAGTACTGTGAGAAATGTGGCACAACACTAACCAAGGCAGTGTCATTTCAGGGACTGTATGGGCCTCAAAGTTCAAACAAACAAGCTATATAAAGTCCTTTTCTTTACTG